AAGAACAAATCCAGAAGGGTTTTTGAGATATGCTCCGGATATGGGAATAGACACAAGAGATCCTAGAAGGATTTTGGCGCCCACCATTAAAGGATCTTTATCAGATCTACAAAACATGATCTTTTACCTTATTTTTTCTTTTTTTCTCCTTACAGGTACTATTATGACCCAGTCCCATGTTGAAAATCCTAAACAGGAATCTTTGTACATTGACTGAAACCTTGTAATGCCTTGGTTATTATTTCCATGACGACTGAACAGTTTTCAACTTGCTGAGAATATCTTGATTCTACTGCATATACCAACAAATGAATCGGACACAAATCATATTGACACATTTAATAATTTGACATGAAATAATATACACAGGATTAAAAAGAAGCTGTACTGAATTCAATATTGCATTTTTTTTTGTGATTCACAAATTGTCAACCTCTATTTCTATGAACATCCATATTACCATAGAGATGTATAACTCATTGTAGGTAACTGTATTGTGACTGATTTTAAACCAGTTAACTCATTCACCCCTGAAATTGTATAATGAACTATTCCAACCTTTGAATTGTAGGGGTTCAAATGTGTCTTCAGGGGTTAATGAGTTAATAAAAAAAAAAAAAACATAAATGAAAAGATATAACTAAAAATGTTATTGATATACAATGTATAATTATAAGTTATTGATATAGTCTGTTCATTCTAAGAAAAGTGGGAGATTTTATTTGACAAAAAAATAAATACACCAGGTAGTTATTAAATTTAGAAATGAACATTGGATACATTTTCATTGATGGTATTATAATAGCACAAGATTGCTCCAGCCTCCTCTGCTCTATTCGATATTTAACTGTACAGTAAAACTTTGATATAGTGTCATGTAAGTCATTTGCCATGTTGCTTACTTAATATAGTGTCATGTAAGTCATTTGCCATGTTGCTTACTTAATATAGTGTCATGTAAGTCATGTGGCATGTCGCTTACTTAATATAGTGTCATGTAAGTCATGTGCCATGTCGCTTACTTAATATAGTGTCATGTAAGTCATGTGCCATGTCGCTTACTTAATATAGTGTCATGTAAGTCATGTGCCATGTCGCTTACTTAATATAGTGTCATGTAAGTCATGTGCCATGTCGCTTACTTAATATAGTGTCATGTAAGTCATGTGCCATGTCGCTTACTTAATATAGTGTCATGTAAGTCATGTGCCATGTCGCTTACTTAATATAGTGTCATGTAAGTCATGTGCCATGTCGCTTACTTAATATAGTGTCATGTAAGTCATGTGCCATGTCGCTTACTTACAGACATATTTCAATGTCACTTTTTCTTTTTTCTGAACAATTCCATTAAACCTGTCCCTTGATAAGATCACCAAACCCCTTTATAATGCCAACATTATGTTTAACGAATAGTGGCAGTATAACAAGGTTTTACGATACACTTAATTGACAAATCTGCAATAAAGGCCACAATGTAATATACAAATCAACCTGTTATATTGAATTAGCCGATTGCTGGCTCAGGTTTTATTTGAACCAATCGGGTAATTATGGGTATATAATCACTCTGGTTCTGCTCTTTGTGTACTGCGCTTTTCACCATCAATCCAATCTGTATGAATAATCGTTGTTTAAAACAGTATAACCATACACACAATGACTGGCTTTAATCATTCATCTCTGAATGTGCTATTTTTTGTCATATATAGCATTATAAATTAATCCAGTGCATTCTGTACAATCATTATACAGAACCTGATATCCAAAAAGTGAAACAATCGGTTTGATGAAATATATTTTGATCTTTGAAACAAAATTCCACAAGTGTTAATTTAAATTCAAGTTTAACTCATTCACCCCTGAAGACCCATTTGAACTGTTCCAATTCAAAAGGTTGGACAAGTTTATTATGAAATTTCAGGGGTGAATGAGTTGAAGTAACAAACATCTTCACAATATATGAATTATCTTAAAATGTAGTTCAATAGCAGTTTTATGAAATCATAGCCAATAAATTAATAAATATATATACTTTTAAGTATACAACAGACAAAGAACACATATTTCACCATAATTCTCTTTTTTTCTTATTGTAGCATTTCATTCATTTCAAAATAGTTTGCATTAGGCAACGTTCATCAGACATCTAAATCTTATATACGGTATGTATGTTTTGAACATTATAATCCCATGATTTTTTTTGATTTTTTTTTTGGTTACCAGGTAGGCCTGAAATAGACTATTTTCGTGATTCTTGCAATCTGTACAACTCAATTTATGGATGCCAGTATTTAACAGAAACAATTCAGTTAGCATTACCCAAAATCACAGTGTTCTCCCAGGAATGTTTTGAAAGAAGCATGGTATTTCAATATTTCTGTTAAAGCAGCACTCTATATGTAAAATCAAAGCAGCATGCATGGTAACTTTAGATTAACTATGAACATATAGCTGAGAAGATCTAGGATAGCAGCATGGCAAGAAATTATAGGAGCATGGTGGCATGCTGCAAAAACAGCCTGGGGAGAACACTGATTATCCAGAATATGAAATTTACAGTAGAAAATCTAGATTAATAGGTATTTATGATTGACATGAATGGATATCACAGTTAAGAAGAAGTTTTACCCAACTTCTGTCAAGGACACAGACAATTCTACAGCCTCAAATGTCTACAGTCATGTAGGCCGAAGGGAAAATTGGAATTCAAGTATTGTCCTTGAAACAGGGGGATAAACACTTAGGTAAATTATACTGAAATCGAAGAAACAGCTTGACATTTTCTTCAACAAGAGTATCAAGTTTTCTGCATCAATATCTCAAATTGCAACATGCGGGGAACGTAATCGTTTGAAAATGTGTTTGTTTGAAAATCATAATCATGTCAAAAAAATATGGGGGTCACCTGCCCGACCACACTGGTTTTCCCTGGGTACTCGCGATGTGGGGGTCACCTGCCCGACCACACTGGTTTTCCCTGGGTACTCCGGATCCTGTTTCCCCGACATTAAGACCCCCTGCGCGCTACCATTCGGGCCAACAGGATTGAGTGATTATTGTAAACTGATAGATGACTCTTTTTCAAAGTTTGATTTTTATGACTGTGTGAGCATTGTTATCTTGGCAGAAGTATTAGTATATTATTTTGACCTACAAACATGGAATATTACCTAATTCACTACATTGTTATACAGATGAGGTAATGTAAACATATCTTTTTCCCTATCTCCATCCACATTCATGTATGTATGGATATCCAGAAATGGCAATTCTTCAACTCTTTATATATAGAGACAAAATGTAAAGTGATCAAGATGGCCTCAACATTATTAAAAAAAAAAAAATCTACTAACAGAAAAACAAAAATGTCTTTTAGAACTTTGAGAAAACATTATGGCAAAATAATTGCTTTACTAGTTTTTGTCTTGTCTTACTTAAAAACTTATATTTAAATTTAAATCAGATAATTCAGTAAATTAACATTACATGGGGAATATTTTTTTAACTGTGACATATCGACTTTTAATGATAACTAAAATGAATTAAAGATACATTAAAATGTAGATGTACCCATAACTTCAAACATTTCCAAATATGTCCTCTTGTTTACACAAATAAAACATTCACAAACTTACGATTACAACCTACCACCATTACTGTTGTCCTTAATATATTTCTTGTGCTATTACAGTTTATTCTTTTGTGAAGATAATCTATTCTTTTATAATTTAAAAAAAATATACATTTATAATCAGATTTAAATAAAAAACAATTCTTTTTTAAGAATTTTACAACCAATTTGTAAGTGTTAGTAACAGAACCGCTAATTACATATTTCTATGTATAATTTAAAACTGGCTTAAAGTGACAATGATTTTTGTTTTGTTAAGATAAAATATGGTAAACTGTACATAATTATGTAATTTTGTAGCAGTGTTTACTGTTATGTTTACTGTTTTCATAATCTGACGAACCTGCTAAGTCAACATCATGTCAACAAACATTTCTAGCTAAGTATGAATGCATACACAACGAAGTGGAAACCACACACAAATTCAGTATTGTGTAAACTTGTACTTTTTGATGTAAATGTCAAAAAATACCAACACTGCCTTAACCCTTTCACCCCTATGTAACGTTAGTAGACTCTACCATGCATTGATCTTGATGAGTCTATATTGGTCTACAGTGGTGAAAGGGTTAAATGAAATCTGCAGAGTTGGACTGTGTTACAGCACCAGTTTAACAGTTCTGAGGTCTTGGGTTCAAATCCGAGTCTGACTGTAGCCTATTTCTCTCTCCTGTTACAGTGTTGTAGGCATATGAGAGGTATCACAAACCACGTGTACACAGAGGTGGACACTCTTTCTACTCACACTTCTGTTTCACATCTTACATACTTTGTATCTACATAAATCTTGAAAGGCATACATTAACAGATTATTGAGCAGTCAAGTCTCATTACACTAATCACAGAACACAAATCTTCTTCGACAAATGTCTATATAAACTATCACTACCTATTTCGTAATTATGCTACAATGGTTCTTAATTGTAAAACATTGAAAATAATGTGCAGATGAAATTTTTGACAAACAATCGCCACAAAAATATGCATGGGATGACTCGATTTCTGTAAGTCTGTTTAAATGGTCTATCAACACAACAAGGTCATGCAGGGCCATATGGTAGGAATAGATAAATAGTAGGGCTACATTTGCGTATCCCGGTTGAAACGGTACGTGTGGCGCAGAAATATTCCATGATAAATGAAAGCACTTGGACCGTACTATAAGCAGAGCTAAAAATGCACAGTTTCGGAGAATAAAAAAACAATGTATCAAGAATATTATGCCCTTCTTTCACGCGCCCATTGAATTACATAACATATCTTAAAATCTACATGTGGTTGGACATGGTTTTAGAAAGAAATAACGCAAACTAGCAATAGTCAGCATTTTAGTTTCGGTCAGGTTCGCCTGGACCCCTAAATCTACACATGCCAAATTTTCCGTAGGTCAGCCTCGGTCCAGATCTGTGCCTGTCGTGTTCTTTACAAGTTCAATCCGTTCAACCAGTACAACCGGTTCAACCATTTCAACCGCATACGTGAATGTACCCTAGGTGTATCGGGATAGACAAAGAAGTAAGATTAAGGGCAGAAACAACAGATCCTAACTGTAGTAATTTGTGGAGCAGATTTATATAAATTTTTTCGTTGTTTTCAAGGGCTATTCCAGAAATGAATGAATTTATTCCTGGAAGAAAAACACCAGTTCCGTAGGAGGCCCATAAAAGTCACCTTGTACAATCAAGTAGTGATATACAACAGGTCCATTCTGTTCCCAAGCCTGCACACAGGTGGTATTGAATGACAAAGTTATCCCAAGTTATACAACACAGTCATCCTTTGATCACCTCAATAGTTCAGATTTACTAACAATTGTGTCTTTTAAAATTGATCTTGTGGTCGTCTCATGGAGTTCAGGAACAGCCCGGATAATTAATTATCAGTACATGTTTCGCTTAATGTCATGTTTTTCTCTGACAAATGTGAAGTGATATTTAGCAGAATTTACGCGAGGCAAGTAAAATTCTTTAAAAATGTTTTCATTTTTCACTAACAAAATAGAGATGATTCTCTGTTATTACATATTATAATCACTACTTTAAAGAAAAATGTAATTACAAATAATATTTAGAGTGCTCATATTAAGCTCAAAATATATATGATTTTGAAATGTCACAGGTATCATCACATAATACATTATGCACTACAACTATTTTCTTCAGTGTGGAAATACATTTTATTATCTCAAATGTGGTGAAAATTAGCAGAGAATTTGTTTTAAAATATGGCTTCAATTAAAAAATCTGTAAGAATATTAATTTATATTTTTTGGAAAATTTAAATAGTTTGAAAATGAATTAAGACAACTATTTAAAGCCCAGCCACAATAATTGCAGTACACATATTGAGTAAACTTATTTTGTGTAAAACATCCCTCTGGTATCATATGTCCTCTACAAGAAAGATGCCTCTCGTCAAGTATAAGCATAAAAGTCCTTAATGTTAAATTCTAGAGAAACCCTGGTGCCTGTTTTAGCTGATCAAGAGACTGTTGTACACAGATTCAGCAGTATTGGACAGAGTGGTGCTCACAGTTGCAGATAAGAAAGAGTTCCGGAGACTCAGATCCAGGCTATAGTTGCAGGGGAGTAGCGTGCGTATTACAGTAATCACTGTCTAGAGTAGTTATCCTCTGTCATCAGTCATCCAGGGACTCGTATCTACAAATACATAGTACATGATCGTGAAGACACAGGCACTTCTGTTTTATATCTTAATATAAGAATCCCAAGCGGTTTGTCTTTCATTTTCAGAGATCGATTTTCGGAACTCAAACTTTTTTTTTTCAAATTTTATTTTGGTGCGCAAAATAATTGAGAAGAAGCTTTTTGGGGGATTTTCAGCCTCAAAAAGTACCTGCGCAAATTACATTGGTTTTTAAGGTAATAATATGATATACAACATTTGTATAGCATCCTATATAGTTTGCAAAATTACTCTAAAGCAGGTTACAGCACATGTATAATAATATTCCTACAGCAACAGTTATAAATACAGTAGATAAACAAGGCATACAAATAAGCATTTTACATCAGATGCAAAGACATTTATCACTGTATGCATATAAATACAATGTTTAAGATGTATAGGCTGGTGCGTACATGACATCTGTGCAAAAGAGCAGATTATCTTCTTTCATAAATTATAGTCACTTTTAGTACGTGGTACACTGTACAAGTAAAACATCAAATGCCCTTTTCGTTCCATTTGTAACCTCCCTTACCCCATCCTCAATATCCAGGGGTTACGCTCACTTTCGCTCTCTACACCCCTGGAATATGTCATAGCAAAACTGAAGGCACGAAGATATCTGTTTGATTGGTCTCGGGTAAAAAAACCTGACCAATCGCTAGGCTGATACATGTCCTTTGAAGATTACAAAGGAAAGACGCCCGACTTCAAAGCCTGTCAATTTTTACCGTTATGTGACCGCGAGATTCTTTTGATGTACATCAAAGGATCAAACCAGTCTTCGCGTCTCATCTTCAAGGTGCTGCACACTGAGCCTTTGATTTTGCTATGACATATTCCAGGGGTGTAGAGAGTGAAATTGAGCGTAACCCCTGGAAAGCGAGGATGCCCTTACCCTTACCGCCAACATATTTCAACTTACATTTTTCTCTTTTACTTCAGCTGTCCTTCATATGATTTTGAAAATTTATCATGACCAAACACCAAACATTATAATGGCAAATTTTCTCTGGACAAAACACACTTGGAATGTCGCATACAACATCAATACTCACTTTGATAATCGCCGCCTAAGATCTTTCATCTGATCGTTTTTCTTGGTCAACATTTGTTTAAGATTTTTAAAAGGTGTTGTTTGATGAACTTTCTTTTCAAGTTCCTGCAAAATAAAATATTACATAATTGGTAGTAGAAGTGGCCAGATTATTTAACATCAAATAAACACATTCAGGAACAGATCAGCTGCCATTGAGGAATGATAGTTTCACTAAGTATGAATATCTCTCTGTCTGTTTGCCTTTACTGACCAAAATTAAATCAGGATTCAAAATTAACTGCCCACCAATTCAATGTATCCCTGTTCTAAATGGTTTGAATTAATGATCTCAAATACTGTCAACATACATCAGAGCATTCAAATTTTAGCACATTATGGAATTTTAACAGATGTGTGCATTGATGAGTTGGCAAACCCACAAAATATGCAATAGGAAACAGTATAAGGGAACTTCAATTGGGGCAATCATAATTTAGCGGAACATTTGAAGAGCAAGAATTGCTACAATAAGACTACTGCTACATGTGTGCATTTACTCAATAACACTTGTCTTTTTTGACCAGGACAACGTCAAACAGGGTTACACGGCTTTAATCCAAAAGTTTACTATACTAGTTTCGACACATCTACGACACATTAGATGTGTTGTCATCAGAACAAATTTAAATACAAACAATCAGGTATGAGGTAAGAAATGCAGTGCCTTGCCTAGTGACAGTAATAACAACACTATTGATGAAGTAGTGAATTATAAGTAGATAATGTTTAGACGTCATAGTCTCCACAAAGGCTAGATTATTCTGCGGGAATAAGTTTTACAATGTTCAAAGCGTTGGAAATTCTTCAATAGATACTAAATTGAATGATATTTCAAATATAAACATTACTAATATACTTTTACAAAGTGTCACAGTGTCCCGGTTTGTTAAACTCAGGTCATGATCAGTAAATTAAAGGCGTTGGCATATTTGCTGTATATATTTATTTTCATTTTTCAGCAAACCTTTTAATGGCAGTCTCTGATTTTACAAAGTAAAACTTGCCAAGTCTCTCTAATAGTAGTAGGCTACTGTTTTCTCCTCCTCATTTTTGACTGTTTTTCCACAGCATAAACAGTGAAAATATGGCCTTTGACAAAATCTTTTATCAATTAGGTGATTATTCTTAGTACATTTTGCTGTATGAGCAGACATGGTTGGACTGTGTTACCTTTTCTGCCATTTCTAGCATTTCGTTTATTCTCAGGAGCTCGTGTTTTGTGCTCACAAGGTCTGTCTCCATGTTGCCCAAGGATGCAGCTCCACTCTTCTTTGTCTGAGGAGGGATAATGATACCGGTCAGTATAGATGATACAGCTAGTTTCTATATCAAAAATAGCTATAAGGAACAAAAAAACCCAAATCGTATGTAAAATACATTATTAAAAGATGAAACAAGAGCTGTTGAAGAACAGCATGGCTCGTCTATTGATGATATATGTTGCAAGATAGCAAATATCAATATAAACACACGTACAGTAAAACCTTGATATAATGCCCGTCATTTCATTTGCCACCTCACTTACCGCCAACATATTTTCAGGTCCCTTTATTAATTATGTTTTTCTTAATAATTCCTTATACGTTTCCCTCAATTTATTGCCAAACTCCTTTATAATGCCAACATTTCTTTGAACAAATGATGGCAATATAACAAGGTTTTGCTGTACAGCAACATGTAAGAAGTAATGATCATGACCAGCCAATGTAAAATAGTCAGCAGCGTATTGATGGTGGTGACCAATTCAACACTGCACAAAAAAACTTGCCCAAAAACTTTAACTAAGTCCAACTAACCAGTTTTGGCCCCTAAAATAATGAAAATATAATTCAAATCATTGCTTACACTCCATATCATTACTCCAACCTTATAATAGGCAACAGCCTATTGATGGTGGTGATCCAACACAACAGAAAATAACCTTCACCCAAAAACTTTAACTAAGTCCAATTAAGGTTTTTTTGGCCCCTAAAATATGAAAATATGGTCCAAAATATTGCTAACACTCCATATAAATACTTCAACCTTATACTAGACAATAGCCTATTGATGGTTGTGATCCAACACTACAAAAAAAGCTTGCCCAAAAATTTAACTTGAACTCAAGCTTACCCAAAAACTTTAACCAAGTTCAATTAAGCTGTTTTTGGCCCCTAAAATATGAAAATATGGTCCAGCACATTGCTTTCACTCGATATAAATGTCTTAACCTCATAACAGACAACTGTGTTTTTAGTGTGATGATCCAACACTGTCTGGAAAAAACTTGCCCAAAAACTTCAGACGGTGGGACACCGATGCCGACGCCGGAGTGACGACATTATAGCCCCTATTCTGCGAATAGGCGAGCTAAAAATGTAAGTAAACCTGTCACAAAATTCAAAACTCAAAATTTACAACCTAATGAAGTATATATGCATACAGTATCATTTATGTATGTATTCAATTGACTGTATAATTAGCTCTTTTGTGAAATCCAGTATTAAAGATTATGGATTTCCTGTAAACATTTGCACTGGAAGGAACACACAGTTCATGTAAAATTCATGTGTCTATTTTCTTCTTTGAATTAGACTTTTCCATGGGAATTGTTTCCTGTTTTGAATGAAAGACTGACTCAAAACTTCAACTAATAATAATTTAAAACATAATATAAAAACATATGTTTGAGTTAAACATTGAAAAGTTAATTAATTTTCAATAGATCGGATTCTCTATCTCCAAATTACATGGAATGAACTCAAGATGCAAGATATGCATTACCCATACTTCCATCCATTCTGACAACCATCTCATCCTCAGTAAACTCAATTAAATATAAATCGCTTAGTTTTATAAAACATATATTGTTTCAAACATCTAAATAAAATTTAGCAGTCACAGTCACTGTTATCAATCACTTCAAATATTCCTAAAGATCAGTCACAACAGATTTACAATATTTTTTAAGGAATACATGTATAACGCCTTTTTTCTTGCAAAGTTTGGAATTAAAAAGGGTCATGGAAAACAAGACGATAGTCATTGATAGATGTACTTGGTATTCTTTTGTGCCTTCGAATATTAAACTTCAAATTTCCGTCTTGATGCATTGAAAACTGCCCATAGGATTTTTATGCAAGTGGATCGCCTATGGTATATACATATATTGCCAGACTACCTGGTAATCTGTATGACTGAAAACTGTTAGCTGTATGATAATCTCAATGTTCTTATTGACACAGGGAAGGGGGAATTAGACACTGTGAGAAAATATCCATATTCAATTCCTGTATATCAAATGTGAAATTTTGCCAAAATCAGCATAAAACCACCTTTGACACAAATGGTTGACAGTGGATTCTCTGATGGTCCAGAAAAGTTTTTTTTTTTTTTTTTTTTTTAAATCTAAAGAGTAAAACAGAATTTTTGTATTTAATACATGACAAGTTCATTTTTGCAAATTTCCACAAACCAAACTGTGTACAAAGAAAGTTTTACTGCACGTATTATGTAAGAACACACACACTGCAACCTTTTAACAGAGACTAGCTAGGCAATTATAGCAAGATCATATGTCTGGGAGAGGGCTTGTATAGGCTTTGCCTGTTGCCCAATTCCCATTAACTCATTCACCCCTGAAGTTTCATAATGAACCATTCCATCCTTTGAATTGGAAGAGTTCAAATGTGTCTTCAGGGGCGAATGAGTTAAATCTGATTGATTTAATAAAATATTTTGAAACGAAATATGTCCTATATTGAAAATGATCATGATCATGATAGGCAGTAGAATGATCAGTAGCAGCAGAAATAAATCAACAATTATCATGCATAGTATAACATGTTCTTCTAATTTCCATTTTCTGAATTTAAAAAAACTTCAAATTTAGAAAATTAAACTTTATACATCAGATACAACTTTATCATTTTATAAAAGCTGCATCTATGAAATCCAATTGGTAATGTTCTCTATATACAATCTATCTAACTTCTCTACACACTGTATTTTCTCGCGCTAGAATCAAAGTCCATGTTCATTAACTCATTTACCCCTGATGACACATTTGAACTCATAGGTTGGAATAGTCCATCATAAAATTTCAAGGGTGAATGAGTTAAGTGCCACCTTGTGGATGTTGTCTTGTCTGGACACTGTTACCGAGTCCTGCTACCTGTGATCTCAGAGTAATGCTTTAATTAATTTTAGAGATGAAAGTGAATTGCGCAGCAGCATCATGGTAAAATTGACCAGATTTGATCTCGAGAGTGTTTCTATGATAATTTCAAAGTGCAGGTAACTGTCTATAAGCTTTACATCTGGTCTTGTAATTGGAGCAATTTAAAGTGCTAAAATCTTTTATGTCGAGGGCAGAGAACCCTTGGATTTTGAAGGTACATTGTATACAAGCTGTAGAACAGTCTCTATCTCGGTCTCTCAGTAAAGTCACACCAAACTTGTACACAGCAGACAACACATAGTTAGCAGTATTCATGATTCGTCTCAAACATTACCTCACGACACTGAAAGGTTTATAATGAAGAAATAGTGTAGTTATGTGGTGATATATTATGTACAGATGTAAATTCAATGAAAATATTTTGATATACCTGTTTCACAATGGTAATTCATGCAAGGCATGTTCATATGACAGACTTTTCTGATGTCATGGTTTCCACATTACCAACATAACACAACAGATCACTGTAAATAGTGTGTAAAATACACCACTTTAACAAGTTAATAATGAATTGAAATTTGAATGAAATTCAATGACATATAACTAACCATAACATATGTGGTAGCTAACCATAACAAGTAGGAACCATATATAACAAGTGGGAACCATAACAAGTGGGAACTATAACATGTGGGAATCATAACATGTGGGGACCATAACATGTGGGAATCATAACATGTGGGAATTATAACATGTGGAAATCATAACATGTGGAAATAATAACATGTGGGAATTATAACATGTGGGAATAATAACATGTGGGAATAATAACATGTGGGAACCATAACACATGTGGGAATCATAATACATGTGGGAATCATAATACATGTGGGAATATGACATGTGGGAATCATAACACATGTAGGGACCATAACATGTGGGAACCATAACATGTGGGAACCATAACAAGTAGGAATCATAACATGTGGAAATAATAACATGTGGGAATAATACCATGTGGGGACCATAACATGTGGGAATCATAATACATGTGGGAATAATAACATGTGGAAATCACAACATGTGGGAATCATAACAAGTGGGGACCATAACATGTGGGAATCATAATACATGTGGGAACCATAACATGTGGGAACCATAACATGTGGGAATCATATTAAGTGGGGACCATAACATGTGGGAATCATAACAAGTGGGAATCATAAAATGTGTGGGAACTATCTGTATGTGAACCTGGTTTAAATAGCAAACTTCCGTTTGGTCAGCTACTTAGTTTGGTTATGATTTTATTCACACAGTATGTTGAATGCATAACGTAAAATAACTACAGTGTTTTCAATAATAACATACATTTATAGTGCTATGCTGATTAAAAGGAGAGCTGACTCAAGAATAGCATGCTTACCTCTTCTAACGTTGCTGACATGCCTTGTAGCTGTTTCCTCATAGCTTCCACCTCCAATTCTTGCTGAAAAGAACCCAACAAATATCATCTTCATCCAGCTATTACTGCATATCTCATTGAGGACTACAAATTCCAAATTCCAATTTTTATGGGAATAATGATATAACTTATTTTTATTGTAATCTTTTTTTTTTCTAACAGAAAACATCAAAAATTCTGTTTAGAAACAAAATGACATGTTATTAATAAACCTGGCAGTTGACCCATCATTCAACTATAAAATGAACACCATTCTTGTAAATTCTGTATAATGATATTTTATAGTCTAATTCTTCATATTGGTATGAAGGGAGACAGAGCTTACACTGAACCACCTAAGGATCCCTGTCCCACTGTACTGTGGTCTTAAGTATATACAGCAACCTCTAGGATCCCCCCAACCCCTTTCACCAGTGTAGACCATAATGGACTCATCCAGAACAATGCATGGACGAGTCTACTAAAGATGCATAGAGGTGAAACGGTTAATTTTGGATATAATTTTGAATATAAATGTGCTATCGATTGGTTAGGGCAACAGTTTAGGAACATGAAGTCCGGGGTTCAAATCTCAGTCTAGTGTCATTCATTTTTTACACTCAGAACACTGTTGATTATATTTTGTTTATTTCATCTTAATTTTTTTGTTCACCAAAGTCTCACAAAGTATGATTTTCTTATCAGATGCCAGAAAACCCCCAGTTTCCAATGCATGAGAAGTGGTATGGGGATCCTTAATAGGTGTACTGCTCTCAAAAGTATTCCTCGAAGGGTTGTTTTAAAATAGAAGTTGTGCTTTCCACCAGAAACCACAAAAGCTCACCATTCCTGATTGACTGTCGTCTTCACTTACTGACGATAAGCCAGATAAAGCCGCCTACAAATTGATAAAAAATAAATATGAATTGGAGAAACCATTAAAACTGATTTTATATTATGTAAAGTTTTTTTTATATACATAAGTTCATTTGCAAAAAACACAACCTTATCCATCTTATGAAGTAATAAGTGACAAGTTCTATACTGCTTTTTAAAAGAATTCCACAATAAAATAACAATTTTGAAAGGTAATATACTTTTGGACTTTGTTGAGTAATAATTGACATATTTAAAGTTATACAAGGATATTCAAGATAATGATAATCAATTAAATGAACTTATAGCTTTATCATAAATTACAGGTGTGCTATGTAAGGTAATCTTTAAATTAGGACTATTACAATGAAACTGTTTGATCAAACCAAAACTGCATATCATTTTATATCAATACTTACTGCCCCACCGAGACTGAGAAGTTTCGCCTTAGCTTTTTTGTTTTCAGCCATTAATTTCTTCATTTGTCTATCTAATTCCTCAATTCTCTGAAAAAAACACACAGGTTATAACTATATGAAATGATTAATTATGCATATTTAAATAACTGTCATCTCCTCATTAAGAGTAAAACTGAAAGAACATTATATAGAAGCACTTGTGAAGGAAATATTTGTGTTAAATGTTTTTATGTAAATTAAACAAAAGCCCCATGGGCCTTAACGGTCACCTGAATTATGTAAAAACTGCTGTTATCGATGTTGCCAAATGAAAAAGAAATCATTTTGTGGCAAAGGTAACTTGAACTACATGTAATGCAAAAGTAGTGTGAAAGATCTGGGTAGTATATGTACTATGTACAAATAGTGGTTCTATCAGTCAGCTGAATTTTGGTAAAGCACCTTAAGACCCTTCCATCTATGAAGAGTCTTTGATTCTACCATATCTGGATCTTGAGAAGAGGAATTTTGGTATTTTAGTCAATTTGACCCTTTTTGGCCCCGCCCATCAGCCCCTGGGGGTCAGTCAGGGCTTATTTGTGCATATCATCAAACTGCTATCCAATACTGATAATGCTAACCAAGTTTGAATTAATTCCAATGGAAATTAAACAAATGTTGGTCCAAAATGTGATTTCCTTCGCTATATAAACCATAGTAAAGTTTACCCCCTCCCCAGGGGGAAACGTGAGAGCCCAGGGTCATGAAATTCATTATTTTGGTAAAGCAATTTCAGACCCTTCCATCTATGAAGAGTATTTGATTCTACCATATCTGGATCTTGAGAAGAAGATTTTTGAATTTTTAGTCAATTTTTCTGCAAAATTTCATTAAAATTAGTTCAGGGTTTTTGGAGAAAAAGTCGAAAATGTAAATTGTTTACGGATGCACTACGGATGATGCACGACTCACGATGGACGATCTTATGTAGGTATACTGGATATTCTACCCAAGGGTGTAAAAATTTGGGTCAGATCTGAGGCTTAACCTGTGTTCAAGATATTGTAGAATTACCTACCCCATGTAAAAGTTATGGCAGAGCAGCTGTCTACCCTGCATAATAGCTATGACAGAGTTACCTACCCTGTGTAGTATTTTATGACCGAGTTTCTGACCCTGCGTAGTAGCTAATACAGAGTTGTCTATCCTCTGTAGCATTTATGACAGAGTTACTTACCCTGTGTAGTAGTTCTGTGCCTCCCTTCTCATTTAATGGAATTAACTTGACATTTTTAAGTACTCCTTGTAAATCCTTATCCATTTTTGTACCACGGAATTCTTTTTCTTCAAAGTCTGCTATTTGTTCTAGTAAATCTCTAGAAAAAAGAGTTGATGAAAATAACTGTCATGGCATGTAAACGTATATGTAATGTGGCGCAGAAGTAATTCCAACAGCGTGGACGATATGGATTTTTAAATTTTAGGAGCAATCCGCTCCTTTATCGAAATGCAGAAAAAACACTACAGAACAATAACATTACATAAAAACAAAAATAGAGATATAATTGGATAATACTTGTAATATTTGAAAACAATAAGCCCCAGCTCATGATCAGCTAGTGTAAGCAATACAACAATTACTTCCCTAGTACTTTCACATCTTTGGAGGTTCATCAGGGAACGATTATATTTATAGTCATGTTGACAGGACAACCCTGCGTAGTTAGTATTTATATATTATGACAGAGTTGTTCTGTCAACATAAATAAAAACATCCCCTGATGAACCTCTTAACTCTTAGATCAACAACTTTCAAGTTCAATCTCTTACCGGTTTTCCAATTCAGAAATGTCGGCCCCTAGTTTGAGATGCCACTTTTCTGCCTGCATGAACATCTGTCGACACTGGAGGATATTTGTGTGTGAAGTGTTGATGAGTTCATCTTCTACTTCTCCTCGCACAACAGACAGAAGCCCATCCAACATGTCTGTAACCTCGTCTATGGTGTATGTCGTCTCATCGAGCCTGGAGAAAAAAACATTGAAACTCTTGACGAACGACCAGGGCTTTTAGTATATCCTCGAGAGAATCATTTTGTCTCTCCAAATGGGATTTGACTTTTTGGTTTTAGATATCAATTTTATATATGTTGTGACCCTTCAAAATTTAGAAAAAAAAAAATATATTTGACTTCCGAAATTGCTAAATATCAAGGTCAACTGAAAGATGATTGTCTTTCCCTGTATAACACTTATAAAACAGTCACATTTTACATGAATACAGACCAAAATTCCGCCTCAGTTGCTATCATATTCATGATGTCATCACATTGTTCATTGTATGCGATAATGATACCTCAAACATTATTTATTGTATTTTATTACGACCTCTCAAAGGGAGATATAAATGAATTACACATTCATAATTTTATTGTGCATTTTCTCTCAATAAAAGTGCCATGATGTCATAAAGGTCAATTTTACAACAATATGCTGTTATGCACTGTACAAATTGTTTGTCAATTGAATGGGGTCTTTTTTTTCAGTTTTTGTGTAGGAAAATACCTGCTACTTTTCAGATCTTCAAAACACATGTCAACAGCTCTCAGCCTTTGACCTCTCTGGTAGCGAGAGAATCTCATATAGTTGATGACTTGAGCCTGGTGGTGCTCGTTGACTCCTAGTTGTGCAGTCTGCAAGCCAAATAGATAATTGATAACGGATCAAATGGATTTTTATAATGAATTTTACACAACAGGAAGCAAACAGGCTATGGAATATGGACCTAAGTTTGAACAGGTAAAATGGTGAACTGAACTGAACTGAATAGACCTGCTACCTTTTAATAAAACATGGCAGAGTGGTATAGTTAATTTGAATTCATGATCATATTACAATGACAAAACTGTCGAAGTGACAAAACCAGACATGGACTGGAATTCCAAAATAATTATTCTAACCTTGCCCATCATTAAAAGATGTTATCTAGACTTTATACAGATGATGTTAATGGAAAAAATATGAGAAAGTATTTGTATATATATGTCTGAACAAATCTACCCTAAATCACTCTGCAAAGAAGTTTAAAATTTGAAAATTCCATTGATTCTAGAGTTCTGTGACAATTTCATTTAAATTTCAGACCAATGAATGTATGTCATCTTTGTGATTTATATGTTATATATGTAACAGAAGATGGAAAAATGCACGGCCAGACCAGGGTTCGAACCCGGGACCCTCTGACTTCTGGACGGGCGCTCTTCCCATTGAGCTTCCTGGTAGCCGACAATCAAGCCAGTCTAGTTTCGCTACTTATAGAAGAAGTGTGTCTCTAGAGGGAATGAAATTTTCAATGGAATTCTGGTGAACTAAAATAGATGTTTGCAAAATGAGAGACCAGATATATATACATATGTATACTTAAGGATGGAAAAACACATTCAAAACAAACATCCCTAAATTGAAAGAAGATAGACTTGGTCAATTTACTTATATGTTTTTTATAAGTCCTTATTGTAGAGAATTGGAAGTTCTTCTATAACGTCGTCATAATTACGATAATATATTTTTATGTGTATATGTGGCATCTGATAAGTGCAACTAACCGGGGTTTTTTGTTAAACTTTTTCTATATGATATAAATATTATTCTTTCATTGATTTGTCTATCCATTTATTTTAAATTAGTTTCTAAAAGAATAAATGATGTGTAAAATATTTGACCGGTGGCTATTGTAATTAAGTAATGCAACAATTTTCATATTTTCCATTAGCTGTCCAACTGCCACTTCATGTAGTGCTGCATGTCAAGAGTAGATATATCCAAATACCTGATGTATACCCCTAAAAGACATGGTGGAAATGGGCCACAGTCTGGTGATAAAGGTGTTTAGAGAAATAAGATGTTACCCAAAATGGTGTACTGTTGTACATGTCTGTTTCTTTCTTATTTTATGCTACTAATAGCCTGACTTTCCTCTTGCCCTGTCATATACATCAGACCTAGAAATTTTGACAGATTTAATTTAATTTATCCATATATGAGGGTATAGTACCTGGCAATCTTAAAACTGCAAAAGTTATCCCTTTATTAAAAAAAAGGATAGACTTCAGGTAGAAAACTATAGACCTGTGAGCATACTCAATATTGTGTCAAATATTTTAGAAAAAGCAGTCTATAACCTATTAGAAAATGTTCTTGTTAAAAATAACTTATTGTATGAATTTCAATCCAGCTTCAGGAAATAAAACTCTACTGACTCCTGTTTGATCTATCTCATGGACTATATAAAATCTCAAACTTCGAAAGGTTTATTCACTGGTATGGTCTTGTTAGACCTACAAAAAGCTTTCGATACAGTAAATCATTCTATATTGTGTAACAAATTAAAGTTTATTGGTGTCGAGTCCTGCAACTGGTTCAAATCTTATTTAAAAAGTAGATCTCAACTAGTCAGTGTTAATGGGGTACACTCATCAGTTGGTAATGTCAACTGCGGGGTTCCTCAGGGAAGTTTATTGGGACCACTTTTATTTTTGGTTTATATCAATGACACGGAAATATGTATTGAAAATTCATGTAAATTACTTCTCTATGCAGATGACAATGCTATCATATTCTCACATGAATGCCCTGAAACAATTTCATCTAAATTCTCCTTGGTTTTGATATCCTGTCATGATTGGCTTGTTGACATTAAATTATCATTACATCTGGGAAAAACAGAAAGTATCCTTTTTGGTCCAAAAAGAAAATTTAAATTCAAACGCCCAAGGATAAATTTCAGGTTTCTTGCACAGGTCAAATTATTAATTCTCATTCGGCTGTAAAATACCTTGGGGTGATGATTGACAGATTTTTATCTGGAGAAGAAATTGTCATACAAAAAATGAATCAAAGTCTAAAACTCCTTACAGAAATAGTAACTGTCTATCCCAAAAATCCCGAAAAACTCTAGGTTCAGCTCTCATACAATGTCATTTTGATTATGCTTGTTCATCTTGGTATGAGGGTCTTTCTAAATTACATAAAAAAAAGTATACAAATTGCCCAGAATAAAATGGTCCATTTTTTTCTTAACTTAAATAACAGGACAAGAATTACCTTTACTGAACTACAAAAAAATTAGTATGCTTCATTTAAATCATGCATTTAACATCTTTAATCAGAAATGCCCTCAGTATATACAAGAATTTTTCACCAAAAACAATAAAACATACCGTCCTAGATCTGGATATTAAAATTTCGGTATTAAAAACGTCAAGAGTACAGAAACATCTACTTTTTTTCTTTTCGGCTGCTAAAGATTGGAACTCTTTACAGGATTATATCAAAAATATCAAAAACAAACATAAAAACACCTTGTGCAAGCAAAAATTGAATTTGATGATCTATTTGTCTACTACTGAGCACACATGTATTACCTCTTCATTCTCTGTCACAAAATACATATACAGACCTGTGCGATGGCACGGGTCAAGCAGACCTCGCTGGTAGGGGGACCCCCAAGCCTTGGAAAGCTTGACTTGCAGCATTGCACAATCATTTAAAATTTCAATTTGTTTTCATGCCTTTCTATAAACAGTAATGTGAAGATCTGTCGGTATATTTAGTGTGTTTTAGTATTTTGATATCTTTGAAAATAACTATGTAACAGTATTTTATAGTTTACTTCTATAAGAAGCTCAGTCTGCCACTATAAATAATAATTATTATGTATGTTGTTTTGTTTTCCATACAAATGGAAATACAATTCTACCGATCAACTATCTAATATATGATACACACATATCCTGTTCTGTGCTATCTGAACTGTTACCGGATTGATTTTCTTATTTTTGCTTTTATTTTCTTCCATTTTTAAAGGACCCCATTGGAAATAAAGCACATTGTGGCTTTTATGGGTAACCCTAGCTAGGTAAATGGCATACAACACTCCTATTATGCAACTTATTTATATCTACCTTCATGAACTAAAATATAGTCTCATTTTATAGAAACATCTGCCTTTTTTAACAGTGTATTAGACTTTTTTAGATTTTATACTCTGTGATATATATATGTCAAAGATTGAATTAAGAAACTTTTTATTATGATAGATCTATTCTTATTCTCAGTCTTCATACAATTTTTATTTTTATTTATTTACAAGCTGCATTGTGATCTTAATTGTATGTTTTATTCTAAATTGTGATATCTTGTAATAACATGCCTATTTTACCTGAATAAATATTATTATTAGATAGATGTCCCACACGAGATATTTACAATGTACATTGTAACTGTCAAAATGTCTAAGTCTGGTTTCAGAGCCAGAGGAAACTCTGGCTATGCTACCAGTTGAATGGTCTGACAGAAAATTGAATGATGGTGCATAATTCAACCTTTAATCAGCGAATACAATCACTGTTGAATTTTGGTATGTTGTCAATTTTCAAAATCAAATATAAATTCAATGTTTCAACACCGTTGAGCTTCAACGTTTATGTGCTTGCTGGGAAAGCACACTGCTGCTTAATTTTGCTGTAATTTGTTTATTAGTTAAATTTCACCTACAAAGCTCAGAAATTGGTCACTTGATGTTAAATCATTGTTAATTATTAATTTGATTACCCTGTTCATTACTGCCTTTAATTTCCATAACTGCTTTTCATAGATTTATAATTTCAAACCATTGACACCCAAATTCACTGACTCTGAATTAACTGGACCCTGTATAAACTGGCCATATGTTCGTCGGTCATATCCGAATCTGACAGATTATATCTTAAGTAAATGCTAGGAATGACAACTTATTATATTGAGCGCAAAAATACAAACACAAATAAGTCTGGCCAAATAAAACACGCGTCATGATGCAACAAATCCCATATTGGATGGAGGACCAATAAGAACTTCTGTTGTAATAAACAGTGCATATCTTACCATCTTTCAGTGAGTGTTGAATAATGGACGGAATGAGTCGGTGAAGAATTTCGTGTTTATGTGTTTGTGGACGGATGCGACTCTTATTTTAAAACGAGGCTTGACAGACCCGGAGTAAATATGCACACTCATTAAATACTATGATAAATTAGAAACTCGTTCCATACAACATACATTGGTTATTATATGTTATATAACATAATGTTATATATTAAACATTTTTATTTATAATATGTCACATGTTCATTTTAGTGTGAGACGACACTTGCTCAGCAAAATGGCGGCACAGGGTAGGCGAACGCATGGCATTGAATTATAATAATACTATCTTGTTTCTGTCAAAATCCCCTGTTTAGTAATGGTTTTAACACCACGAGTGAAATGTTTTAAAAGTGTTAACATTTTTTTTTGTATATGCCACTACATTCTGCTGTCTACAACGAAAACGCATATGCCATGTGGGAACACCGTGGCACTTCCATAATATTCCATAAATCGGTCACCCAATTTAGGGGATACATTCTCACACTCAAAGATTAGAGAGATCAGGCGATTTGGCACATGATTCCTTTACACGCTACAATCTAAATCATAAAATGGTTGAAAAATAAACCTGTTCACAGTTTTCCTTTATTTTATTTCGCTTCATGAGAGTTGCGAATATCCTTTTAGAACTGTCAATATGCTCCGGGTCACCCATATATAACTGACATAAGGTCTTGTTGACATTGGTTGGAAGATTAGTTGCACGTGGGGAGAGTTATTTCGTTGTATGAAGTTGCAAAATGGCCTTCCACACTTAGCATTCAATCAATTTAAACAAGATGTCGGGTCATTCTTGTCGTTATGTGAAAGATGTTTCTTTGGTGTTGCATGAAAAATATGTCAACATTGAAGTAATAATATAATAGAAACTGCTTATCAGCTACAAATGTAAATCACTAATCTCTATAGATAAACGAAAGGTAATTCGGGACTTTCACTTAATTCTTGACGTTTAACATTTTCAGAATTCAGAGAGCATTTCTACTGAAATATGGAGTGTCTAAAGACCTAGAGTCTAAATTTATTTTGGATGCATACTCTCAAGGGTGTACTCAAAATCCTATGATCATGTTTAATGATGACAATATATTAATACTGATAATCTATTTGGATTAGTCTTGCCTGCGTAGATAAACAAAAGTGTGCAAAATTTTTTGGGAAAAAAACATAACCTGAATCGTCGGTTGATTTACATGTATACAATAATCATTCAAGTCCAAACTCACACAAACTAAAAACTTACATCTGATCTCCTACTTACTGCAGTGTGTGTGTATAATGATCACAACAGGTGTGTCCGAGTCAAATGAATGCTTTTTAGGGCAATTTTGATACATAAAAAGGGAAAGATAAATCCAGCAAAGCAGTTTCAGTCATATGTTTCCCACACTTTTCCCTCGTTGGAAATGTAGAATAAGGGAGATCTTTCCCTCATTGGAGGTTTCAGAGGTTGACACCTATGTAATCTGACAAGCCCTCTGTCCAGTCAAGTCTTGGTAAATGACATCTGGTAGTATAAAGAAAGGCCTTCTTAATTATAATAGGGCAAAAAATATAATGGCCCAGAGCAGAATTCAAATATGAATCCAAACACTAGATGAACACACTTAAACAAGCTGAGTTTTCAAGATATGGTCAGCCGCAAATGACAAAGTCCAGATTAAGGGAGCAAAGAAGACATTGTCTGACCATATTTGATAGTGAACCTTCAGTTATCTTCATGGAAACGACGTTAACTTTAACAAATATTCTTCTTTCCAAAACAATTTGTGGTGCTTTCATTTCCTCAGGTTTTCGTTGTCTCATTTGCAGAGATATTATAAACCAATTTTTTATAAACAGGAAGTGGTACAGTTTTTAAGATAAAAAACAATCCAAGGGCTAACATAAGAAATTCATACTTCCTGTTATATTTCTTCATTTAAAAAAAATGTCAAATGGGTAAATTATAGAAGAAACGTTAGATGAGCTATGGACAATGCCAGTTGATTTATATTGATGACGTGGTCGAACTACCCCGTTGGGTTGTGTCAGTGAAGTTATTTCAATATTTGATTGATTGAAGTGTTTAGGCCTATTGCAATTTTGATGTTGTCCAAGAGGGAAGCTTAAGGAGGCTCCAGCCTTTCGCAATTTCGCAATTAGCCAGAATTTTCACATAATGGTTATGTCACTATGTAGAGATGATTTTGTAAAAATCTTAGCATTCCGATTAACTGGGGATTTTTTGGTAAAAAATACTGAAAATATGTTTTTTGGTCAAATTCAACACTTTCACATTTTTTGAGTGTTTGGCATTGTTCAAAACTATCACAAAAATAGAATAATGAAAAGAAACATTGCTGATCAACCATACAAATATTTTTATTTATCATAAAATATCTACAACATGGTTCAAAAAGCATTTTTTATTGAAATTGTATGGGGAAAAGTTACTAATGACAAGCTAAAAGCAAATAGGACACATAGTTTCATACAAAAAGAGTGAAAAATTGAACCAAATACACACAAAGTCTTTATATTTCATTTATTTTACATTTTACAATGATTTTGATTCTGATAAGAGTTAATTGTCTACCGTTAAAAAAACGGAACTTTTTGCAGAGGGATAGAAATTATACAATGACACTTATTTTCTTTACTATATCAAAAACGACAGAAATAAATTAAATTACTATATTTAATTGTCAATTGACTGTTCTTTTATGGAACAAAATTACTCTCATTCATGTACACTTTAGACATCATTCCATAGCCCGCTTACGCATGGTATATTTGCATGTCATATGTAACCATAGGCTACCGGGTATGCCGTTGTCACGTGCATGTTAAGTTAATGTAATTGCATTTGTAAAACGATTAATCTGACAGAGCGTAACTCGCTCGACAACAAAAGTCGTAGCGACCAAAAGCTTGCAAACTACTGTTAGCACGTGATATGTACAGGTGAGGTCGGTAAATAAAACGCATCAGTCTGCATTCCATGCGCCTCATATACGACCTTGAAGTCGTCTGATCTTATGTCAGTGTCTTCCCGGGAGTTAATTAATGTCTTTGTATCATAAGCTTTATTTCTGAAGTACGTGTGATTACATTTCCAAGTTAAGTCTTGATATCGAGTGTTGACATGTCATCGCCACGCACGTGTTCTATTGTTTACCCGGTGTTGCTATAATTTACACTATGGTAATGGAATGCCCGATACGCAATACGGAAATGACGACACGAAAATACGACAAGAAAATCATGTTTATTACGAAGGGTGGAAAGTCCTTAAGGTCATAGGAGTGTATTGCTAAACGGAAATAGGAAGTACATCCCTAGTTGAAAATCCAATGTAGGGAGACAGTATCACAATTTCCACATAAACTAATGTTTAATATTAAAGTGATGAATAATGTATGCTTATTATTGACAGAACATGCACACAGTGTGTTCTTTCAATATTAAAGTATTGCAAAGCAATCCAGGCATTAATTCAGTTGTTTTTTAATCAATGAGTCACATGTGTCCATTTTTCTGTACTTCAGAAACCGGCTACCTATTTCACTACTGTGAAGTTTTTCAAGAACGATAACTCTTGCATGCAATTACTATGTGTATATGCTTTTATTATAAAATGTCAATTTTTAATCGTTTATAGATAATTAATTATACACAGTTTCAGCATTTATGAAATTGATATACATTAATGCAATACTAATCTATGTTTATATTTTTTTGGTGGCTGAAAATTTTCTTTACTTCAAAGCAATAAATGCATTTGACAGTTTCAAATCTCCATTTTGTCTTATTATAGGGAAGAAGAAGCAGAAGATGAAGGGCACCAAGATGGCTCTGACCGACTTCCTGTCGGATGACAAGACCAGCGGCCCAGATACGAGTTCAAATAGTTACGGCGGTGGGTCTAATAGCTATGGAAATAGTAGCTATGGACGGGATTCTGGGTCTAATAGCTATGGAAGTAGTAGTTATGGACGGGATTCTGGGTCTAATAGCTATGGAAGTAGTAGTTATGGACGGGATCGGGATTCCAGAGGTTACGGTGGTAAAGTGGACTGGGCTGCTGAAATGGAGTCCTTATCTATGGATGGTAAGTATACAGATGAAGCAAGAAAATGTAGGAAGTAAGCCTGGGATTTTAATACATGTATTGACCAGGCTTTAGCCAGATTTCAAACCTACCTGTCCAAAAAGGTGACATTAATATAAGCCCATTTTGACAAAACTGCCTGTCCAAAATTAAGTAAAATAGTAAGGATATAGTGAGAAGTTGCCCGTCTAAATGGGCCTTTTTAAGAAAACTGCCCGTTCAAAAGACAGGCAGACAGGTAGCTTTTTATGGCTAATAGCCTGAAAGTATTTTCTTTTTAACTTGCCCTTTATATTAATTTACATAAAAGTAGAAAAGTGTCATTTGAAAGGAGCAGAATAAGGGCTGTTCCAGTCAGTTTGGTTATATTATTAGCTACCTGGTCCAGGGGTTATCAATTGTTTAGGGTTTATGGGAACATACCCTGTGATTAAGTGGGAACAAAATCTCTTGACATCAGAATCATCTTGGGAACTTTGGATAACCATTATAACAATTACAAATACTATAAAAGGAAGGGAGCCAAATTTGGAACAGCTTGCCAGTAGAAACACGACTTTTATCCTTCCTCCCTTCCTAAATTCAAACAAAATATGATTGTAATCATCATCTTGGGAACTTTGGATTATAAACATTATAACAATTACAAATACTACAATAGGAAGGGAGCCACATTTTTAACAAGAATTGGGTCGTTAAACAGGCTTGAAAATTAAAGCATCCTTGATAAACTAAAAACCCTTGTGTTTGTAATTAAAACAAGAAATCCTTACCTAATTTGGTAATGACTGGAAAAATGGAATAGTGACATTTGCTCCAGATATATCAACCTGCATTACCTGTGAAACCTCCAGCAGTTCATCAAACATTTCTGTGCGCGTGATATAATTTTGTTACTTGAAATGTCAGTGTAGCAATTTTGCAACCACCAATGGAACTTAAAAATCAATCCGAAGATACAAGGTTCTGTAACTGTTTTTCAGACATGGGTGACCCGGAATATGGGAAACCAATGATAGACCGCTCCAAGCTGCCAACAGCCCCAAAGGCTTCGCGGGATCCAGATGTAGATATGTCCCAAGTACCAACAAGCGGTCCATTCACTGCCTTCATCGGAAACCTCCCCTATGAGGCATCAGAAGAGAGTATAGAAGAGTTTTTCCAAAAATTGAATGTAAGTCATCAAATTATTTTGCCTGTAAATGCTTATAAATGGAAAAAGTCCATACAAATAAACAATAGTGGTGATTTTCTCTTAATGAAAATTTGTAACAATACACCTAATACAGAAGTTGACCCCTATCTGCGCTGGGTTCAGTTCATCATTTGAATCACGGATTAGGAAGGCGATGCGAATCACATTTTCCAGCTTCAATGGGCCATATATACTTGGTACTTTCTTGCTATTATTTTGTTCCATCAATAATGTGGAAAGGAGCATGGTACTGGTCTGTCTATCATTAAGATTCACGCTGGAGTTAGTATTTTAACTCTGCAACTTTACAAACAGTTACATGAAATCTTGGAAGAGTTGGTAATATACTGGGTATTATTGATTGGATCAAAGTAATATTCTGACTATGTTATATTGTCTTTAGATTTATTCGGCTTACGATCTGTTTTATTGAAATTATCCTTGTTTTGGCTAATGATGGTGGTGGCTATATACATGCACTACTGAAAAGACAAATGTTGTTACAAAGCATGTGAAATATTAGGTGAACTTTAATATTTATTCATCAAATCATCAGTAAAAATTGTTTCTTCATTAACATGCAATGCAATAAAAGCTTAAAGAAAAATTCTAAATTTTAAATTAAAGTTTTGACACCTACAACATAAAATCTGTAGAAATAATTGTTAAACGTTAATGGTTATGGTTTTGTGTGAGTCACTGAGTGTGAGTTTAGTTTAGTCTCCATAATCCAGCCATTTTCATTTCTAGCAAAAATGGAAGAATTTTAAGCAGAACACCTAGGACATTTTTATTTGAAGAAGAAAAAGGCCACATGTCACTATAAAGGACACTGATTTGAAAGCCGGACACCTGGATTAAACAGTGGTGGGATTGATCTAAGCTCAACTTTGTATGACAACTGTTTGATGTGCATGGGTATATATTTCACACAGGTTGTAAATGTTCGGCTACCCAATGATGGCGGTCGTCTGCGGGGATTTGGATATGTGGAGTTAGCTGACCGACAATCTCTCATTGATGCCCTGTCCATGAATGAAGAGGTAAACGACATCGGAGACATTTTTGATATTTCCAACAGTTATTTTACAATCATATTGAAAATACAATCCTACCATGTGATTTTCTATAAATCAGAGTCTGTTTAAATGCACACCGGTAACAATTTGTGTGTAAAGCTTGTCATTGTATAAAAGTGGTTTAATAAAATCGTGTAACCTTTTTATTTTTCAGACCATGGGTGGACGTCAAATACGAGTAGATTTAGCAGGACAAAATCAACAAAATGGTTTGTAAACATTGAATACTACTTGGTATACTGTGTTGTTCTTATAGAACGCATGCGATATAACATATCTTGATGAAATTGCCATTCATATCATTAAACATGAATTTGGTATTTACAGAGGAATTAAAAACACACTTGGATTTTCTTGACTGATGGTGGGTTGTAATTATCTCCCTTAGATTATAGACAACAGTGTAGATTGATATAATAATAGTGTTATGTTAGTTAGCACTGTATTTCTCATTTAAGATAATGATAAAAAGGGACATTTTTTTTCTGTACTTGATGATCATTTAAAGAATTATTGTTATATTATGTTCAGAATTGTTTTAAACCGTAGGTCTCTACTCATAAATAAGCAGTTAAAAACTTATAAAAAACACCTTCTCTAATAAAAATAAAAAAACCTCATAGAATTGAACTATTAATACTCACTATAGGTATAAAAATAGCATTCAATATACAATGTATTGTGTATTAAATTTCTCCAAATTTTGTTAATTAAACACTATACAAAATTGCTTATGATTGCCCTTGTTTGAACTTCTATCAAAGACATTTAGTGCTTACTTAGTAATCTTGACTGTGTGTGTATGTGTTCACAGAGCGGGGTGGTAGCGGAGGTGGCTTTGAGAAGCGAGAGAATGATGGCCCTGACCGAACAGAAAGTGACTGGAGACGTCGGGATCCTCAACAAGAGCCTGCACCTAGTGCACATGTACATGGTAAGATTGTCTTACATATACCAGGTTCTCGGGCCAGATCTTATCATTACAGCCCCACGTTTCAGTTTGTAATTCAGGGACTACACAACATATCGAACAATAAATTTGTTTTTCTGAAGACTATGCCATATAGTGTACAATCAGTTGTTTGTTTTCTAGTGGATGAATCAGAAATATGTTTTTCAATTTTTAAGAATCTGAGCGACCAGGCGCATGGGGTAGTAATCGAGGCGATGGAGGACCACCATCAAGAGGGGGTTTTGACAATGATCGAGGGAGCTTTGAAAGAGGCCCACCAAGGGGTGGCGGTGGTTTCAGCAGATATGAGGAGGCACCAAGTAGAGACAGATATGATGATCGAGGACCCCAAAGAGGTGGTGGTTATAACAGAGATGAACGGGGCCCCTCAAGGGGATTTGATCGCTATGACGACCGTGGAGGTCGAGACAGTGGCTTTGGAGGTAATAGAGGTCGAGGTTATGGGAGATATGAGGATGGCAGAGGTCATGGAGATCGAGGCTACAACAGAGGTGAGCTGTTATCCTCCGATACTCGGCTCTGAACATACCAGATGTCCAGATGCCTGAAGTCCTGATGTTAATTTGCTAAGTTGATGGTTGGAGATTGAGATACTGATTCCTTTTTATTTAAAACTTTCCTATCTCTGTTGTAAACATGAACTTCTTCCTCTGATCAAAGAAAAGGATGTTTGAAATAAAATGTAACTATTTTTGATGGAAAGTTATGCAGATTTGCTAACAAGATTATGCATGAGACAAGAACATCTTCACTGATTTGTGATAATTTTCCACCTCTAATAGATCTTTTTAAAAAATGGGGGTTGGGGTGTGGGGGGTGTTGCTAGATGAAGCTTCAGAAAATACCGACCATTTTTCATCAATTAACAATGCTTCTGATTGGAACTAAATATCAAAGTTGATACAGCTAGGATTTCACATTTTTGTATTGATGTGGAAAAATACAAATTAGATATTCCCTTTACTTTTAAAACAACACTATCCCATTCCCACAAGCTTAATCTGTGTACAGAATCACCAGTAGTGTTAGATTTGTAGAGGCTTGGTAATAAACAGGTATAGCACTACTAAATAAATTACTGTTTTAAGCTGGCTTGGGACAAATGTCTGAGTGTATGTGGTTATGTGTCATTGGACATGTCTGGCCAACTTGTCCTTCAAACACCTTGAAGGGTAGAGGACTACATATGTAACAAGTTTGCAATGACCTTTGATGTAATCACAGTATCTATTGAAATTCAGTAGAATTCCCAACAAATACTTTTTCATTGTCCTGTACGTATACTGAGCCTGCACTTTCAGAATCAGAGATTATGTGTTTGACCCCAAGGCTTAATGCATGATAAATATCGTGTTTTATAAGTAGTCAACAGATTGATGTTTAATTTTGATAAAAGGAATGTGATACATTAATTATAGTCTTGTATTACTTCAATTTCCTTTTGTTCTACAATTTATATGTAAATTTAAGAAATGCTGTTTATAAATGCTATGATGCTGCGTTTGAATCCTTTTGATAAATTGGCTGTTGTTTTACAGATGGCGGTCGACGTGGCTACGGGTCGGGATACCGTAACGACGACCGCGGAGGATATGATGATAGGTATGGGGGCAGGTGGGTATCAGTGTAGGCACAAACACACGAGATAGAATCCAAATCACTTACAGCCTGTTAAAGCCTGTTTGACTGGTCCAAAAATAAATCTTCCTATTTTTCTTCAGAGAATGTATTGACTTGACAGATTTGATTGCCAGCTTGTAAACTTAATGATTTATATTGATGTACACCATTTATCAAAGTTGATATGTTGAACTCAGCTGTTGTATGTACTGTACCTCAGAAAATTGTCATTGTGATATTAAAGCCAGTCTCATTAATTTGGTATGTATATTCACATAATAATTTCTGTCGAAAAGCTTATTAATCCTCATTCCCAACCTCTACCCCATCCCCCTTTCCTCACAAATTAGATATATTAATATTGAAGAATGAAATTTTTAAAATTTAAAATTTGAAACTTTGACTTTGCAGGTCTGAAAGAGGTAGCCAGGAGCCTAGTCAAGGTAAGATCACAGTCTAGAGTGAAAAGAGTAGTAATGGAGTATATTACTTCGTGTACGTAAGGGTAGAAATAATAGAATGCTACATGGGTGTGGTCCGTGCCCAGGGAAATCTCAACCCTCGGGTAAGAGTTTGGCTGTCTAGCATGAGGCGTTGCGGAATTAATTAATTAATCTAACAGTCAAAACAACGGAACTATTTCAAACGCCAATGTCATTTGACGGACCTGTCTGGCGGAAATACTTCCATTCATTGTTGGCGACGTCTTAGCGTGTGTAGGCTGTCTTTTCCTTGGGAAAGAGAGGTTTATCTTTTCACGGGTCAATTACTGTCTTTCACGGGCAAGTATGGGAGAAAGCCATTTCTTCACCATACATTTGTGTTGGATAGAAGTGTCATAATACACAGTCACGACCGGTGCATTTCGTATCCTGCTAGTAGGAGAATGTATAAACTAGTAACTGGAGTAAATGTTGCTTTTTCCAGATGCTGCTAAGGATAGACCCAGGTTGAATCTACAGCCACGTTCAAAACCAGCGGAGGAGCCTGTTAAACCCATGGCCAAGACCAAGCCTGCAGAGAACAGGTACGGCTGTATCTCAAAGTTATATGGGGATACTGAAACTACATTCAATGTGCATGATACCTTTATTAGTACGCTTAATTTCTGGGACATCGGACAAAAGTATGATAAGATAAAGGTGTGATTTTGGCACCAAGTATTCTCCAAACTCTGAAATATGACAAATAGCAAACTATAATTTCACAAATGTTAACATATCTGTATTATCCAATGTTCGAAATTAAACTATTGAATTACTGAAGAAAGACCCACCCGATCCTGCGAAAAATCACTAAATGGTGAAAAAGGGTATTATTTAAAAAAAAAATTGAGCCTTTTGGGTCAAACTTAGTTTTAAGGTCAAAAGTACCATCAAGCTGAATTAAGTATCCTAATTACATATCACTGTCATGGATATTAATATTTTTTCTCTGCTTGTCATCACCTTTTCTTTTGAGTGATGTGTCGAACCTTTTCGGAGAGTCATCGCTCGGGTTGTGATAAGCAGTTGTTAAGATAAACTTATCGTACAGTATTAAAGCAAGTAACATAATGGGACACATCACCAAGGTTCGAAAGTTCCGATAATTAATGGTTGTTTGCATTGGCATTCTGCTGTACTGTATAACATTTCGGTCTGCATATGAATTTCGACTCCATTGAACATCATCAAAGGAATGAGTTTTTGATCTGCTAAATGCTGGTTCAGTTTCAGATTGTGTATTCCTCATTTAGTCTGTTATTTTTTTCGGAGATTTGTAAATCTTTATTTAATAAGGATTTGCATATTCTTCTTTTTGATGTATGTTGTAAGTTGTAAGAGAATTTTCAAAACTCTTGAAAAAAGAGGGAGGTCTGTGAGAAGCTTCAAAATGACATTGATCTAAAAGGGAACATTTTATCATATCAAACTCAATAGGTCAGCCTCTATATTTGGGAACGCCAAGCCTGTTGACACGGCAGCTAAAGAAAGAGAAATTGAAGAACGATTGAAGAAAAAGGAAGAAGAGGCCCGTCGAGGATACGATGACGAGAAAGAAAGCCGGAATTAGTAAGTAATCAGTAGAAGTATAAATATTTGTTTTAAAGTGAATCGACTTAAAATAATAGCTGCAGTTATTTTCGTGTTTTTTGTTCACTGTTGTCAAAATAAATTGATAATTATGCATGCTCACTTAAAAAAAACATGTAGACTGTTCCATTTATCCTGCTGTATTTGTGCATTTCATTTAAAATGGATATTGAATCAAAACATGTTGTGATTATAGCTACTACAATAACTCACAGCCAGCTGCCGGTCAAAGTGGCCCGGTACGAACCCGACAGAATTCTACAGATAAAATGGAGGGACGGCAGCGTCGACTGAGCAGTGGGAGTAGTGGTAAAGGCCGACCTGGTATGTTTTTATTCCGTCTTTGCGTATTGCAGAGTTATCTTCTCTTGGGAGCAGGTATTGATTGTTACGTCACTTGTTTGTGAGAGTAACATCATCAATTTTTGAGAAAGCGACGTAATTTTCTCGCCCAAACCAATGACGTAACAATCAATACCTGCTCCCAAGAGAAGATAACTCTGCAATACGCAAAGACGGAATAAAACAAGCTCTTATCATGAGTATATAAGGCAGAAAATCACCTATTACCATACATGGTGTATTACTGTTTATCACTTACTTTTTCCTGGGGATTTGTGTCTGTGTTTGTTTTGGGGGAAGAATAGACCAAATGTATTCCACTTCGTGATTATACGAGGTGACTAATGTAATATGTCTATGTCCTGGATTGCTTCGAAGACATTAAGATACTGACCTGCTACTGCACCAATTGCAAACTGCATTAATGAGTTTTTAAAGCACTGTAAAACATTGTTACTGATAATTTAAACCACGGTGTGTATCTGTAAGACCTTATTGGGCTAATGGTTTGGAAGACTATTGTATTTACCTGTATTTAACTTTATTAGGTTGATGTATATGTATATATTTGTATAAATCATGAAGACTATTGTATTTACCTGTATTTAACTTTATTAGGTTGATGTATATGTATATATTTGTATAAATCATGAAGACTATTGTATTTACCTGTATTTAACTTTATTAGGTTGATGTATATGTATATATTTGTATAAATCATGAAGACTATTGTATTTACCTGTATTTAACTTTATTAGGTTGATGTATATGTATATATTTGTATAAATCATGAAGACTATTGTATTTACCTGTATTTAACTTTATTAGGTTGATGTATATGTATATATTTGTATAAATCATGAAGACTATTGTATTTACCTGTATTTAACTTTATTAGGTTGATGTATATGTATATATTTGTATAAATCATGAAGACTATTGTATTTACCTGTATTTAACTTTATTAGGTTGATGTATATGTATATATTTGTATAAATCATGAAGACTATTGTATTTACCTGTATTTAACTTTATTAGGTTGATGTATATGTATATATTTGTATAAATCATGAAGACTATTGTATTTACCTGTATTTAACTTTATTAGGTTGATGTATATGTATATATTTGTATAAATCATGAAGACTATTGTATTTACCTGTATTTAACTTTATTAGGTTGATGTATATGTATATATTTGTATAAATCATGAAGACTATTGTATTTACCTGTATTTAACTTTATTAGGTTGATGTATATGTATATATTTGTATAAATCATGAAGACTATTGTATTTACCTGTATTTAACTTTATTAGGTTGATGTATATGTATATATTTGTATAAATCATGAAGACTATTGTATTTACCTGTATTTAACTTTATTAGGTTGATGTATATGTATATATTTGTATAAATCATGAAGACTATTATTTCATATATTTCATATGTTGCAAAGAGGAATTAATTGTTTATATTATGTTTGAATTCATTTAATTTAGCCATAAGATTGTGGTTTATATATCAAAGTCTAAGTCTCACGATGTGATAACTTCTACAGTTGATGTGCATTTAGGACTTCTGTGTGACTCTGTAGGACTAAATTGGGTTGATGGATCATTAAGACTACTATCAATAAGCCGTAAGTTAAATGATTGTGTCATGAAAAGTGTAAATCTTTACGACATGTTACTTATAGGTCCTCAACCGATCACATCACCATCAAGATCACGAAGGGACAGTGAGATCTCAAACAACTCCACAGAGGTGTTTTCCGGTGGCGAGGATAGTAAAGACACTCCCAAGAGTCCAGTTTCCCCGGCACAACGTGAGGATGTGAAGCTGGTCCCAGCCCCACCACCCTCAGTAAACATCTGGGAGAAAAGGAAGGTTGATGTTCCAAATACACCCACAAGCAAATCACCTCCCAAGAATGAACCCAAGTCAGCATCACCCCCACAGACAGAGGTAGGCTTACATATAAGGAGTAAATCTAGGCTAAAAAACCCACAGAAAGCTAGGCTTACAAGTATATCGCGGTCAACACCCCAAAGACAAAGCTAGGCTTATGAGTATATCTTGGTCAACACCCCACAAACAGAGGTAGGCTTACATATAGGGAGTAAGTCTATGTCAACACTCCACAGAAAGCTAGGCTTACAAGTATATCGCGGTCAACAGCCCAAAGACAAAGCTAGGCTTATGAGTATATCTTGGTCAACACCCCACAAACAGAGGTAGGCTTACATATATGGAGTAAGTCTATGTCAACACTCCACAGACAGAGGTAGGCTTACATATTGGGAGTAAGTCTATGTCAACACCCCACAGACAGAGGTTGGCTTACATATAGGGAGTAAGTCTATGTCAACACTCCACAGACAGAGGTTGGCTTACATATAGGGAGTAAGGCTATGTCAACACTCCACAGACAGAGGTAGGCTTACATATAGGGAGTAAGTCTATGTCAACACTCCAGACAGAGGTAGGCTTACATATTGGGAGTAAGTCTATGTTAACACTCCACAGACAGAGGTTGGCTTACATAAAGGGAGTAAGTCTATATCAACACTCCACAGACAGAGGTAGGCTTACATATAGGGAGTAAGTCTTATGTCAACACTCCACAGACAGAGGTTGGCTTACTTATAGGGAGTAAGTCTATGTCAACACTCCACAGACAGAGGTTGGCTTACTTATAGGGAGTAAGGCTATGTCAACACTCCACAGACAGAGGTAGGCTTGCATATAGGGAGTAAGTCTTATGTCAACACTCCACACACAGAGGTTGGCTTACTTATAGGGAGTAAGTCTATGTCAACACTCCACAGACAGAGGTAGGATTACATATAGGGAGTAAGTCTATGTCAACACTCCACAGACAGAGGTAGGCTTACATATAGGGAGTAAGGCTGTGTCAACACTCCACATACAGAGATAGGCTTACATATAGGGAGTAAGTCTGTGTCAACACTCCACAGAGGTAGGCTTACATATAGGGAGTAAGTCTATGTCAACACTCCACAGAGGTAGGCTAACATATAGGGAGTAAGTCTATGTCAACACTTCACAGACAGAGGTAGGCTTACATATAGGGAGTAAGCCATGGCAACACTCCACAGACAGAGGTAGCTAGGCTAATTGCAGAAAACAAGTAACTCAGTTAATACCTCTCCCCACCAACTGTATTCATGTGTTCGATTTATCTGTTGTGTGTGTGCAACAACTTTCATTGTTCCTGGAAATATGTTGACCCTTGCCAAGCTCTTGTCTTAACAATAAATTTGAAGGTTGTGGTTTCTGACATTTGATAGCCATACAGTCAACCTAAGTTCTGCCCTGGACAGTTAATTTGACCATTGTTGCTTCTGACCTTGTTTATAAATGTTTATAATTATACCATCTTTCAGACTTCCGAGCCTGCCCCTTCAGCCTGGGGGAGGGGCCGCAGCACTGAAACACACCATGCAGAAGAGGCTCCAGGCAATAACGCATGGGCAAAGCGATCTCATGACAAACCACAGGGTACGCCTCCTTACAAAAAACGTTTTTTGCTCTTAATAAAAAAATGATTTAATTTGTCTTTATACATTGTCACATACTCCTGTGGGTAATTAAAACAGACAACCCCACATTGGCACTTTATCAGTCCATTTTGTCTCTGTTTAGTTTCTTATGGAGAACAGCTGGATCTTAATCTTTTACAAGAAACAATCTCATAGAATTTTTCTTAAATGTATTCTTACCTGAGGGAAGCTGAAATCATCTGTCTGCTGAAGATGGGAATATGAGGTTTAGGCAGAGACATTAGAATTGAACTCTTGTATTGATTTCGCGAACAATTATCAAAATTGCATTTGCCACTATTACAGATGCCAGGCCTGCAGGACGAGGAGAGTCCTCGGGAAGAGGGGGAAATGCGTGGGGACAAGGAGGAAAAACATCGTAAGTCAACGTAAAACTGTCACCCGTACAGGTTGTCTCTGCTATTCATATTTCATAATATCAAGAAGACTTCAAAATTCCTGGTATACAGATGTTCTCTGACGGAATGAAATTGTTTGTAACAGACATGGCCAATGCAGTGGAGATATTGTACACAAAGTCTTTAGGGGAGGTGTCAGTCTGTCATCCAGCAACATTTCTCACTCATCGGTCCCATTAGACATAATACAAATTAGATATTTTAAATGAAATTATGTTTAGTTTAAACTTTATTTTATTATCAGTATAATATTCCAGTAATACAAACATGATATATACGTATAAGATTCGAAAACAAGTACAAAGTACTTTAAGTTAATCCGTCTCCTTTCTGTGGCACCTGCAACACAAGGCGACACATAGGTATTACTTTGTTGGCGGCGGCGGCGTTGGTTATGTCGGCCGAAACGAGGTTTCCGTGCGATAACTTAAGTTTCCTTGGGTTGATTGTACTCAAACTTAGTACACATATTGCATACCAATATAGCTCACATTTCAGAAGTTTACGTGCATTTTTGGTGGAGTTATGCCCTGTTTATTGCCTAATAAGGGCATTGTGTAGTTAGTAAATGCAAGAGCTTTTTTATTTTTCAGTCAATTCCTTTCAAATGCTGTACAGTAATGCTAGAAGCAATAATGTTAAACATATATTACGGCATATCTGTTTACGCGATAACTCAAGCCAAAACACTTTTCTTACTAAAAGCGCTCAGCAGGTGACACATCCACTCCTGTGAACATTCTTATTTGTTAATCTGCGATTGGACGGCACTGACTAATATTGTACATATATATATATATAAGTATATGGAAGAGAAGAGGATGGGGGAGGAAGGAGGGAACAAGGTGCAAAAAGGGTTTTAAAGAAAATGTTGTTGAGGGTAAAATATGTAGCGAGTTTACTGCATTATGGGAGGATAAACTGGTTGGAGTACATTTTTGATATCGGCATGTCACGGGACTGTACATGTCACTGAGGTCTTCAACACATAATAAGTTAATTGTATATAATGAAAATGATGTTTAGCGCGTTGCCTGTTGGAATTGATCAAATACAATTCTTTTAACCCCAAACATTATGCCATGATCTGATTACCAAACTGATGTCCTGCATACTTGAAAGATTAAAATTCATAGTAGCAAAGCATCACTTTCAATGCTTTGCTATCAGGCGTGTAATTGTGCGAGTGATAAAAGCCTGGTGGACCTCTTGCTTATTTGCATGCATATGATAAGTTGCTCTAATCCAAAATTGACATATATCTGTATCAGAGGCTATAAGTGCAACACATCCAGTGTAATGGGGCACACAGATTTTGATCTTCAACTCCAGGCTTATATTCAGGATATTTTTGTTTTATTGTTTAAATGTTTGTTTTTGAATGTTATAAATGAGGCTTTGTTTGGGAATATGACATCAGTTTTACTAATAGCTCTACATGTGTGCTTCATGATTGGGTAATTTTTGTTTCTTATTATTTTATTTTGAAAGTGCTTTTGAAACACAAATGAGTTGATTTGACGGATATATATATATTTTTTCTTTTAATTTTAGACCTAAAGAAAAGGTGTTACCCAAAAGCATAGACGACATGCCCAAATTCGAAAACAAGTCTAAACAGGTATTCTTATTGTTTTCCTTGCTTGAAAAACGCAAAAACCATGGTCAACTCTGTTATTTATGGACGAATTTGATTTGTTTCTCAATATCACACCTTATGTTCTTTAGCATCAAGACCTTGCAGTGTTTCTAGGCACCACATGAAACATTATGTCATGAGAAATTAAAGTTAAAGTACAGTGCTGCCACTATAAATCAGCCTCCTTCATTCCTAGACAAAGTAGCTGCGTTGTGAGATGGCTCGAGTTTTAAATTAAATTGTACTCTCAAAGCCTGTTTCTCTTGACATTCCCAAAAGTTGAAATGATTATTATTAGTATGTACTAAAACCTGTGTTGGACAAAATACAATTTTTGTTATGTATTTGTCCACAGGACTGGAGTGACAAAAACAAATTTTCCAGCCTCCCTGAGGACGAAGATGACCAGTAGATGCAAGGAGGAAATTAGTCATGTGACTGCCATGTGACACTGCAGTTTCAAGCTCATTTGTGAAGATAACTTGTTTGTCGCAGTTTTCAATTGATTGCAATATATCTGCCCTTTTTTTCAAATGGCTTAATTTATACCTGGGATTGAGAGTCATTGTTCTTGACTCTGTGTAAAGTGGGTTCAGCAGTTGGTTTGTCCGACCGTCCTCATCACTGTTTGGTGTAATGTGGACACGTTTTCAAGTATATTTGAACACTGATTTCCCTGACGGTACTTGTTTTTTCCGGGTTTAATTTATGACGACAAGAATATACAGATTCATTTATCACTGTTTTAGATGCATGCTCCTACTCCATTTGTATAGGGTACTTTTATACCTACGTATCAGGTATGGAATTCATTTGGTATCGGTCTGTTGGTAGACTTTTTTTATAGTATTTCCTGTTGTTGAATATGTTTGAAAATCTGATGATAATACCGTTTTCTGGCTATTTTTAGATGAAAAAGGGAAAAACTCTGAGAAGTTTGTTTATTTCTATAATCCAGATACCTGTGGACGTCTGATTGCTGTATATATGTTTTTGGTGAAGTTGATGTGTTAAAAAGGACTTTAATCTCAAGTCTGAAAGTAGAAAATTGAAAAGTATCTTTTAACACACATTTCAAAATGAAGATTCACTTTCTCTCTTTTAAGAGACATTATGGGGTCAATATGGCCAAGTTAACACAGAATATAAAAGCTCATCACTTTAACTCATTCACCCCTGAAATTTCATAATGAAATATTCCAACCTTTGAATTGGAAGAGTTCAAATGTGTCTTTAGGGGTGAATGAGTTCATACAGTGTACCTCCTTTTCATCAAATTATTTGTGCCCGTATGTAAAGTATTGCCTACCCCCCACATTTGTATACCTTTAGTCCTTAAAAATAAATGCAAGACAGACAGGTACAAGGAATTCACAGAGCGTGTTATATTGTGTATCTCAATAGGGTTCTTGATGAATTAAGAGCTTGTGTGAATTTGACATTGTAGTATGATTTCTTTGCCGGCTGTTCATTGTTATATGTTAGAGTCATGTTTCCTATAACAATTGGGGAAAGCGTAGACATGGGAGGGAGGACCTAACAAAACCGAAGTCATTTATCACCCTATAGTTGTTATCTTATACCATGTAGAGGCACCCTATTGATACTGGTGTAGGCTGCCGGGATCTACCTTTGTTTGGTTTTACAGTCAATGGATTTCTGACATAAGTCAAATAAATGTTTATAAGGCGACAGAATTCGAAGTTTACAGACCTGCATAAATGTACCTCCAACTTAAAGTGTTGTGTAGTTTAAGCATTATGTGCTTTTGTGATTGGTCGCTATTGTTTAACAAATACATACCGGTATATTTATGTTTATGCGAATCTGGTGGCGCTGGTATTTTTCTCTCTTTTTTTTTCTTCATGCGCTGCAGCTGTTTTTGCAGACAAAGCCACTACAGGTTATCATCTACCTGAATTCTACGTTCAAATTCCTCAAAAGAATGAGTGGGTTTGAATACCCGGGATTAAAGTGTTTTTTTGTTGGATATTGGTGGTTATTTGTGTGTGTGGTGTTTGAACGGAGTCCAGAAATACACCAGAATGTGGTTCCACATAATGAGGCCGGGGCATCATACATTGATCTTCTGGTCTGTTAAGCAAAAACATATTTATGTGTTCTCGTTATAAATTGTTCATAATCCAAATCATGTTATAAATTTTTACCCTTTAATGGCGAAACGGTGCAAATGTCTGGTATGCTTGTCTCCGAGTTTTTTGTGGGTTTTTTTTGTAACTATATTTAGAACTTCGCATCATGAGTAATATTTGGGCTGCCTCTGACACAGCTTGATCTGAACATTTTTTTCACACTCTTTTTAAACAGAAAAAAACATTTCAACATTTTCATCATTCACTTAAATAAACACCTTACCTTCATAGCTATAGTGCTCTGATACACCTCTCTGTTTAGGAATACAATATTTTTTTTGTAGAGAACAAATCTCAAGGTCCTGTTAAATATTTTACATAATTTACAAAAATGATGTAAAAAGAACTTTTTTGTGTATATATATACAGGATGATTTTTCATATTTTTTTAGCAGTTTTGTTGAATGAAAGCAACATGAATTAGGTTCATTTTCATGATGAAATCAAATTTATATGCTAGAAAACGTCAGTCCTAAACTGAATTCATTTGCAGCACTTTACTTTGAAACGTTAAAATCTGAAAGCATATCAGTACAATTAAGCATGTGTTTCCCATTTCACCCCCCACTTTTGGGGTTCGATTGCACCAACCATACATGTGATTCTCATACTAATTATCACTTAATTTACAAATTAATTTCACACTCATTTTTTTTGTACATATTCATATACATCATTATCGAGGTCATCTGTTTTACGATAGATGGTCATTCTATTCCTCTCCCTAGGTGAGATGCTCAGAGTGAACTTGTACATAACTCTCGTGATGAGCGTCTGACGTTTTGATTAAATCTCGCGCGATGTAAATAGTGCCACCCGAAATTGGGTGATAATCGATTCAATAAAATATTCCAAAATGTACATTTAATATCGGGATTTTGTTATTTGTTGTGTGTGTTTGTTCAGCAAATGAACTTTTGCCATGAAGCTTTGTCCATGTCCGTCTTGTCAATGTTTTCACATTTTAGATTTCTTAAAACATATAGCTTCAAAGTGAAAACTTTACCAAGATTTACTTGTAACAATAGCGAGATGTGTAATTCGGATTTGATCAATAATAAATCTTTATTGTCCGCAAAATGTGATAAGATATCGGTCAATTAGTCGAGTAATACACTTTTAATTTGTAAAATGATTTTTATGCGCCCATCAAAGTTTTAATGGGTATATTATGGTATGGGGAGCGTTTGTCCACTGTGGAGTTTCCGCAAAATAACTCGATTAAATATCATTTGATTTAATGAAACTTTGTGCAATATAAAAAGATGAAGGTTTGGTCGACGGTTTCTACGTAATTAAATCTGACCAGATTCTAATGAAACTTCATCATTTCTATTGCACAAAGACAGGTGAAGTTTGAAGTTACCCGGTAAACAAAATCTGCACATAGTTAATTAGCATGCAAAACTGATTGGCTGAAGGTTTCCGCACAAATTAAATTTGCCTGGATTCTAAGAATATTTTTCTGATTAATTATGCACAGATTTTTATCCAACTTCAAACTGAGCCTTTGTCCTTTTACATTGTAAATATTGACTGCAGTTTCATCATAACTTGGTCATATGTGGCTAGTTATTATGCAAAACCTGTCGATCAATCAGAATGTAGTATGCTAATTAATTTTGTGCAGATTTCGCTCAACTTTGAACTCAAGTGTCTTAGTCTTTGTTGTACATGCTTATCAAGTTTCATCAAAGTTGTATTATATTTGATCAAGTGTGCGGCCAGACGGAACTAACTTCCTGGGTTGTAACATGGAAACGGCAAAGGGACCTGGGAATTTGTTACAGTTATATTTGGAACTAAACTTAGGTGTTCAGAGTAATTTCATATGTTTTAGCGGTTTAGATCGACTTTAGGTAAAAATGACACCCGATGATTTCTTCATATCCAGATATTTTGTATATAGGGCGAGGATCTCTACTGTTTTCGGAGTGTGTATGGAGGAAACGGAGTTCATCGCTATTGGAGCTAACATCGGTTTTGGTCTGGCCGCATAGCTAAGGTCTTGTTCATACAGTCTCTTTTACCTTGATGTCTGGGTCTGGCCATAAAGTATCGTTTGCATAGTCTCTTTTTACCTTGACGTTTTGGTCTGGCCTCATGGCCAAGGTCTCGTTGGTATAGTCTCTTACCGTGACGTCTTGGTAAGGCCTCGTTGGTATAGTCTCTTTTACTTTGAGTTTCCATTTGTTTTAAACTGAACACCCTTATTTAGATGTTTGTCATAAGATGAATTAACCTAGCGGTCATATCGTTAGCAGTATCTAAATTTAAGGTATTGTCTATACAATGTGACGGTCAAGGTTCATAGGGGTGACCGTATCTCTCTTATATAAGTGTTGGGGAAATACAATACACAACAAATCGGTAATGGTTTAAACTACATTTAATCGCGAATGATACAATGAAAATGATAGGAGATTTTGTTCATACGTAAAACCAGCATTCTTATTAGACACGGTACACTTACGACAGGTAGTTAATATCTTTGGATCAACATACACCAGTGTAAATGATTAACACTAGTGACGTAAGAAGACATTGTTATGTTATCCGTGCCCTGTCCGCGCCTCGAACTCACGAACTAAGGCATCAAATCGCTTAGGCTAGAAACATCTTCATCTCTTACCAATACACCACCTCACGTTCTCAAGACAGAAGGTTCCAATGCTACAGTGGTGAACAACCTGCTGTTCTCGACATGGTCATGGTAACAATTAGTCCATTGATGATATACGTACCTAGAGCACAATATATAGACGTATCTATGGTTACGAATTGTACAAACAATATAACATATTAGACGCAGTATAATTACGACACGTAGATCATATGTTATGATCATTTTTATCATACACGTTAAGTTTTGGACCGTTTTCTTTCTAACCTGAATGAAACAAGTGTTTACGCATATCTATATGCTCCATACTATACATTCTTCAGCCTATACTCTCCATAATCTATTTCAACAAGATATGAATTAACAGGATCGAGGAATTGCTATTTTTAAATTATCAACAACTGATAGATAACTCGTAAAAATGTTTGTAGTTTAAATAAGAAGTATCCTTATTCAGAATTAAATTGCATGCACACTTTTCGAGTGTCTTTTAAATAAGTCGAAAATAAATCAGCATGAACAAGATTCTACATTCAAGAACAGTTCATAGAGTCCTGAAGAAAGGAGTGATCACACCTGTCTTTAAGAAAGGGGATAGACAATTCCTAGGGAACTATAGAGGAATAACGGTCACACCAGTAATACTTTATAGTCTTGGAGCATTTCCTCAATGAAAGACACAAACCGCTACTTCTTCCTACTCAATCACAACTGTAAAGTGGATTTACTAAAGGGACATCCTCACTGAAAACTGGTATCTAAATATGAAAAGAAGCCTCTTCTATTCACAACCCTAGACACAAAGAAGGCATTTGATGTAGTTGGTCACCAACTCCTACAAGATGTTTAAATGGATGGTACACCACCGCCAGAATGGGAACTTTTAAAAGACATGTACCAAGACTTGGCATCCACTGTAAAATGGGAGGGCCACATGTCCAACGAAATTGAAATGTTCTGTCCACTGAACACTAAACATCCAAACATCTGATACAAAACCTTTTCCACCTTGAAAAAATCCAAAATATGTATGAAAAAGACGAAACATAAAAATTCTCTTTACGGTAAAACGTGTATCAAGTCTACATAAAGCAACAAAAAAGCACAGTTTGGCTAATTCAACCTCGAGGTGTAATGAGGTAAGGCCTAACATGCTGAGAACGATAGCTGCTCGTGTGCGACGGGGAAAACTTTGAATGAGTTTTTCACATAAGTGATGTACAGTCTCAATACAAGACCATTCAGTTTCTGTTAGAGAAAACCAAAGAAGCTTCTAGGAAAAACAATGAACTTATATAACTTTGCACCTGTCATTGAATTGATCCCAGTATCGAAAAGGTTACAATGGAGTAGAACAAACATTGACTACGTAGCATATTCACAATCTCATTGATGTCTTGGCAGCCGGGTTTGAATTTGTTCAAGAAGGTGCCGGTTTTTTTGTCCCCTTAGCCTCTGAAACAACTTCATTGCCGAGAAACCAGCTCCAGGTCGTTTTTGAGAAGGCATTTTTACTTTCATTAAATACAATCACAACAGACTTAGACGCATTGTATTTGAATCTCCATTTACAGCTGCAAGTGTAGCAGATATACAAAGAAATAACAACGTAATATCGTCAACTTGAGTTGGACAAGTTACATTAACGTCTTGAACAAATCATTTAAAAAAATCATTAATAAATACTGTATATAACCAAGGGGAGATAATGCTTCCTTAACGCGTGCCTTGGCAGACTTTGAACCAATCGGAAACAAAGCCTTGGTACAAAACAGCACTAAACATGTTTTCATATAAAGAAGCAATACTATTAATACACTTTGATTTAAAGCCGATGCTGAGGAGTTTAAAAAATAGGCCATTATGCTTTACGCAGTCAAATGCTTTGGCAGCATCTCGGAAGCAAGCAAACACTTTACTGTTATTGTCACAAGCATACGAAACAGACTCGTGGACTAAGTAAGAAGTCATCGTTCTACTGACGTTCTTTTGAAAACCGTTTTGTAACGAATACATGTTAAAGAGATCTGTTGAATCTAGTCTCACGAGTAGTAATTTTTCAAATACTTTTTAAATAAAATGTAGTAAGGAAATGGCACGATAACTATGAGGATCACCTTAGGTTTGTTATAACCTTTAAACAGTGTACAAATCAGACCTTTTGTGAGGAAGGTGTCGTAAGCATATATCAAGTGTTCATAAACAATATGATCATAACCAGATGCAGATGCACTTGACTTCATTTAAAGAAAAAATATCAAAGCAGTCGTTTTCCGAGTCATGATTACGCAGCATACCTGTAACAGATTCATCAATTATTGCTTTAAATTGTGTATCAAAAAATTCACTGGAGGATACGGAATACTGTGTCCTCTTGTTTATAAAGATGTGACATCACTTGGATTTGACCTGATTTCATGAAGGGTGTTGGCTCTCCATCGTTTATTATGTCGCCCTGGGTTTATCGGTTTTGAGTTCGAGTTACAGTTTTGTTGATGCCTCGGTATTTCCTTTTTTTTTGTTATTTTGAAGGGTTTAAACAACACTTACACAATACATTGTATATAAATATTCCAGTATTACATACGCGAGCTAGTCAATCAAATCTGTCAAAAGCGTCAGGAATCATATGTATGATGTTTAGAGTTTGACCTTTCTTTAGTAGAAACGCACTTTTGCAATCGCGCTATCCATGACGTAAACGCAGCGCGGTAGTCTCCCCTTGTGATACTGGCAAGACACTGAAATATTGCACTAGCCAAAGACAAACCGTTTCCCAGATAGCATTTTCTTTCGCAAAGGAAACAGAAAGAAGTCACATGGACTTAGATCTGGTGAATGGGGTTGGTGGTGCAATCTTTAAAAAAGCTTTAAAAGCACCTATATAATATTTCTTAAATGGGATGAAGCATTGTTGGTAATTAGCTGGGTGTCATTCAACCCTTTGCTTTCAGTTTTTTGTTTGCACGTTATCTGAACCACAAACCCACTAGAATTGAAAAAGTGACTTCCAAAACTTTCTTGGTGCTTTTTACACGTCAGACAATCACTGGCCTTTCTTGATTTCTCAACAACCATTGTTTGTTAACAAAGCGCGCCTAAGTTAAAGTAACAGATCCATATATCATTCCTTTTTAAGTAACTCAGATAGATTTCTTGGGTCGCTATTACCTTACTTTTTCATTATATTTTCAGCACATTTCAAACGTTTGGCATTTTGTTCAGATGTCAGCAAATGGAAGATC